ATATATATATATATATATATATATATATATATATATATATATACACACACATATATATATATATATTCCTAATTCTGTGTGCTTATCATCACATTAATCTTTCAGTCATTCGGTCTGTTGGATAAGAAGAGCATTAAGATCCCGGGTATCAGAGACTTCAGTTGGTCTCCGACTGATAATGTCCTCGCTTATTGGGTACCGGAGGACAAAGATGTTCCGGCAAGAGTAACTCTGCTCGAAATTCCCAAGTGAGTCTCTAAACTCATGTTGAAGTAATCTAGAAAAATAAAGAAAATTAATGAAACAACTCTCTTGTATTCAGTCGTAATGAGATACGAAATAAAAATCTTTTCAACGTGGCCGATTGCAAGATTTTCTGGCAAAAATCTGGTGATTACTTGTGTGTCAAAGTCGACCGTTTTGCTAAGCGTAAGGAGAAGACCGAGCAAAAATACACGGTGAATATAGTCGATCTAATATAGTAAATAATTTAACATCTTAAATAAGAGATATAACAATTCTAAATAATGTATCTTAATGTATCCCGTATGAATTTTGTTCTCAGAAGCTTTTTAAGTAAAGATTTTAACGATTGTTTGCGTTTTCCGTTACAGGGTATGTCGTACAACTTCGAGATCTTTCATATGAGGGAAAAACAGATCCCTGTGGATAGTGTAGAGATAAAGGAACCGATTCATGCTTTTGCGTGGGAACCGGTCGGCAGCAAGTTCGCTATCATTCACGGTGAGATACCCAGCGTGAATGTTAGCTTCTATGAAGTGCGATATGGTCACCAACCCGCTCTTCTCAGTAAGTAATTATTAACATAGTAAAATCATCTGGACTAATTATTTACATAGTAAAATTATCTGGACTATTCAGGAGAATTGAGTCGTTAGAATAATCACTTCTTCATACTTGATTTATGTATTCAGGAAGTTTATGTTTTCAAAATTAACAGTTTATTAAGCATATAGATTCTTCTATATTAGTTAAATTACATTTCACGACACATTGCATTTCCTATTTTTTCCTCTATACAAATTTCATAACGCAAAAAACTTCGAATATGAAAAATGATCATTACTTTTTATATTACGATTTAAAATTTATTAATCATTTCTTAATGTTTTTTTTTTTTAACAGAAAGATTAGAGAAGAAAGCTTGTAACCACCTGTTCTGGTCGCCATCAGGCCAGTTCATCGTTCTTGCTGGTCTGACGACGATGGCTGGTGCTTTGGAATTTATTGATACTAATGACTTCACTATAATGAATTCAACTGATCACTATCAAACCTCCGATGTGGAGTGGGATCCTACCGGCAGGTAAGTTTCTTTTCAAATTGTCATAGCATTCTATTAATCTGAATTCAAATTTATGAAATGAATTCTCACTTGCATTTTCTGGTCAATTTTTTTTTTTAATATAACCAAAATCTCTTTTTAGAATGATTCGTATGACAAAAAATTGATTAAGAGAAAAAGATAAACAAGGAGCTTACAAAATTGTGCATAAGTTACTAAATTCTATTTGTTTAATTTCAGATACGTCGTCACAGCGGTATCCAGTTGGAAGACAAGTGTCGATAACGGTTATTGGATCTGGACTTTCCAGGGTCGTATATTGAAGAGGGTCAATCTGACCGCATTCAATCAACTATTATGGCGACCGAGACCGCCGACCCTGTTAACTGCGGAGCAAATCAAGGAGATTAAGAAGAACTTGAAAAAATATTCGGCACAATTTGAAAGCAAAGACCGCATGCGATTAACGCGTGCTTCAAAGGTAATTAATATTGAACATCTCTTTAATATGCTATTGATATAAAACAATTATTCTCTGGTGATTTCATCCATCCTTAAAATGACATGTCAATTTTAATTTTTGTACTTATGATTATAAATGACTTCTACAATTATCATATAACTAGAAAGTAATTCTTTAACAATTGATTAAAATAATTTCGTAGGAGCTGATCGAGAAACGTTGCACACTGATGAAGGCATTTGAAGAATATCGTACAAAACGTATTGAAGAATGGAACAATCAAAAGAAGCGTCGTCTTGAATTACGTTGCAGTAAGTATACTATATATATACATTTCTATATTATACTATATTATTTACACCTCAAATACATCAAATTAGCATACAGATCGTTATTTTATTATTGTACTGTGAATACAGTACATAACAAAATTCACAAGACATAATTTTACATAAAATAAAACAATTTTATAAATTATAAAATGTTATTTAAATCCTTGTAAAATAAAACTCTTGGGATCAGATTAATTATTATACATTTGCATTTTCAGATATCGACACCGATGAACTAGATTCCGATTCGAAGAACGTGGAAGAGGAGGTTGTGGAGTTTTTCGTCAAAGAGGAAACATTTGTACTTGACGAGAAATAAATCTGTGCGGACAATTGTTAATTGCTGTGCATTTGTCGGTCTTGGAAATCTCTAAGTGCAAGATACAGGCCAGTTTCTATCTGCACAGTATCGTGATCTTAGCCATCGTTGTCGTCGTCGTCATCGTTGCCGTCGTCGATAGTTGCAGCGATTGAATAGTCGTTGCAATTGTCTCAATTTTGTGCATCATGATTGATAACGGACAATCACCACTGTATTATTATTATCAGTGTAACGTTCGTGTTAAAATTGCTTTCGCGTCTCCGGCGCTGCGCAAGAGGCGCCGGCATTGTAACAATAGTAAATTTTATCACATCCCTTACCGGATAGCTCAGGAAGAAGTAATAGAGCTATCAATTATTCAATTTGGCAATATTATAATTTCCAGGATAAAATGCTAATTTATCACTCATGTGAAATAATTTATGGAATGTATATACATGAAATTTATATATATCAAGAATTCCAGAATTCCAGGACAGAAAAGGATTGAATCTTCTTTTAATCTCACAACTCGAAAATTCTTTCACGCGCGTCTTATATAACGCGCGCGCGCGCGTATAGTAGAATTTGTAAATTTGTAGAATTTATAAAAGATCATAGAAGTCAAATTTCGAATTTCGATTTGTAATATTTATAAACTATTCGAGATCCGCGCTAGTCAACCATTCTGGCAAACTTTATTACACGGTCTTATTTGGGAACACATTGCAACTAGAATTAAATAAATTAACACAATAAGTTCTCGCGAAGACGTTTGGACTTCAGAAGTAGTAGCGAAAGAAAAGCACGATCGCGCACACCCAAGCCGATGGTATTCTATCCTGCTGCGAAAAGGTCTTTTTCGTCACGGGTTTCGCACAGGAGAACAATAGCGCTTGCTCTTCATGTAGAGCGTCTTGCAACTTTTTGTTTCTTGTTACTAGAGCGACTTGCGTCTCTAAGTCTCTATTCACTGATCTATATCCTAAAATATTTTGATATTATGAATAGATATAGGAAAAATAATAGAAAATAAAAATTTTTTCCTTACCAAAGTTCGGTGAACCTACAAGAGTCAACGAAGGTCGCTTTTGACCCGGCAAAGTGTACCAGAGACCCTTCGCGTGATACGTCCAACCCGGTTTTACAAATTCCCACAATTTTACCCGCTTCTGTTGATTCATGCTCTCACATAAATCGTAGAAAGATTCTTCTATCCGAGTGTACGCCGCTGGAATTCCTCTAGCAATTCCCTTAGCGTCTGGAAAGAGCACGTAATTATAAATTATAATTATTATTATAAATTAACTATAAAAATATAGAAAGTAATAATGTATGAGATAACGTTGCTTATTCATTAAGTCTCAAGACTTTAATTAAAAGTGGAGTTATTAAATACATATGAAATATAAAAACAAACAATGAATAAGGCAAATAAGAGTCAACCGCTGATTGTAAAAGCGAACAATTTAATAAAAGTCAATGTAAAACATGGATTTATATAAATTTACAAAAAATTCAAATGTTTTGCTCCAAGTTTCGGACCCTCTTCAGTGATAACATAATTACAAAAAATGCAGTTTAAATTAATATCGCTTAAGTCCAATATCACAGTTTTTGATGGTGTGACTAATATTTTCGGAGAACTTATTGATATAAGGAATAACAAAAAATCTTTTAAAAATATATCGCTATCAGTCATGATACGATTTTTGATATTTTGTTGTTCAAAATTTATTAGTTTAGATAAACGTTTTTTTTAAGTATTAAATATGGTCTGTAGTAGGTAACCATTCATTAGTACTTGAAGTACTAATAATAATTAGTAATTAGTATACTGAAGAGGGTTCGAAACTTGAGGACCGAAACGTTTAAATTTTTTGTAAATTTATGTAAATTCACATAACATATTGGCTTTTATTAAATTGTTAATTCGCCTTTATGATCGGCGGTTGGCTCTTAATTGCCTTATTCTTGTTTTGATTATGCATTATGATTATGATTCTTATGTTTTGATCTAGCGTCTCAAGAGCTTTTACCTTTTTCAACATAAGAAATATATTGTCTAACTATAAAATAGATTATTTTGAAGAGAAATCAACACACAGCTTATATACAATATTCAAATACTTAGAATTTTCAAAATTGTATAATAAACTAAAGTATGTAATGATGGACGTACTAAAAAAGCCATTGGCAGTGGGATGTGCTGTTAGAAGATGACATGTCGCCCGGCAATCTTTGAGTACAGCCCAACTGTAGTCGGAGGTCAGGTTGAAATAACCAGTCGCCAGCTTGAGCGTGGCACCGGCTGAAGCGGTCTGCAAGAGTTTCAACGTCACCTCACTATCGTGGCAGATATTCAACTGGCCCATTTGCACCAGTGGGAATATCCACGTGTCTGCATCTGCAACACAAGAAAATGAAACAAATCAACATATATACTATCTTCGATGTACTGTACATTTAATTCAATTAAATAGTTTTTAATGCTTGATTTGGATAAAACCATACAGTATAATCAGACTGATACCAGTTTTGTTCAGATTAGCACGTTTCTCTATCTCATCCTGGAAAAGTGTCTGTATTCTCATCGCGGCTTCTTTGGTGAAGATTCTCCGGGATCCTTTATAAGGATGGTAGTTTGCGGCAAGATTCAAACTTGTGTCGCCATTTGGTTGCAAGAGAAAACTAAATTCCGACACTTTCTCAATCAGTTTATGATAAAAGTCGCATAACTCTCCGCAATCTTCGATTACAAAGTATCGATCTTGCCGATTTGTGAAGTAATCGTTGCTAAGATTTGCCCTAATAAAATAATTTGCATGCATAAATATACCATAAATAAATCTTACAAATATGCATCAATCGCGATTGTAAATAAATCTACCCGCTAATAATAAGATCGTCGTCGATCATATACAGTTTCATATGTTGCAAGCCAATGAGCTCGTTGAAACGATCAGGAATCGCCGCTTTCATGATACCACGCAGTTTCGGCGTGTGATAAAGAAAAACCTTGCAGCAATCGCCGTATTCGCCCTTTAGCAACGGCTCCAGCATCTTTCGGGAGTTCTGCTTACCCCGCGAACCTCTCATATAATCTAGCAAAATCTGAACTTGCACGTTACCGCGGTTCGTACTTATAACTTGCTGTATCACATTCACCTACGTTAAAATGCGAAATTTTATCAGTCAACAAAATTTATTTAGATAACTTAACAATCTTTCCTCATTAATCTCTTTTCCAAACTTCTCTTTTAATTCTTATTTAATTATTATTCTCTCTTCTAATTAATTCTTCTAATTATACATTGCAGTACAGTTATTTAGAAGCAATATTTGTACAAGATTTTTGTTCGTGAACATGTTGAGAAAATGCTTACTAATTCAGACTCTAATGTACCAGTGCCCAAGTACAATGAGGCGAGCGTGATTCTTTTCTTGGCATTCTTACATTTTTTCAGCAGAGTATTGTAAAATACTTGTGGCTTGTGGATTATAGTGATCTGAAAAAACAAAATCAATCTAGTTAAAACAAAATATACATAATATCTATAAGGTTGCTATATATACAATTTTACCTTGGAGCCATTTACTGGAAATGCAGGAGCCATAGTATGCAGCCAGGATAATATATTAATTTCTTGTTGTGTGGAAACATCCATATCCCTTAACTTTTCGTCATCTAGCATGGCTATTTGAGTTTTACTTCTGATAAACAGAAAGTCTATGTAGCGAACCTTTGCTTCAGTTGCAGTGTTTAATAACTTTGGTTTATGAAACCTAAAATAAATATATATGTAAAAAATAAATAAATAATAAATCAATAAAGACATGGTTAATTACTGTTCACCAAGATAATTATTTTACTGTATACAGTACATAAATGTCAAACAATATTTAAAGTTATTGCGCTTATTCGAACTTGTACTTATTATAATCATTTATCTTATTATTATGTAATTAATTTTATATATTTTAATATTATTATTACATGAAATACATTGTTTATACAAAATTTTTATTGCTTTCACATGTCAAATGAGTTTAAAGGTTATGTACGATTAACCTAATAACTTAGACGAAACGCAACATGACACATATAAAACAATATCATATTAACTCGCACGCACCGTTTAAATATTTGTAAAGCTGAACTGTGCATGAGGAGTCAATGTCATAAATAATAAAAACGAATAAATAATTGTTCGTCCGCGCGATTCTGAATTTCAATATGACATAATGGCGACGAGCGAGCGACATCTGTCAGTTGTAACAGAAACTAGTTCCACAAACTATATTTAAATTTTTTCTCCAAGAGAAAGTATACATATATACTTCTATAAATACAATATTATGCATATAATTGTTGTATACTTTAGCTTTTAAATAGCTATTTTGAATACTTTATTCTCTTTCGTTTGTTATTTTTCTATTCTTATATTTTTTATTTTGCTACTACTACAATACACTATTAGATTTTTAAGTTACGCGAATATTTTTTATATTCTGCTTCTCTCTGAAATTTCTCTCTTTTATCGAAACACACGTTCACGTAATATATTTTATAGGTAAATCTGTTATGTAATATGAATGTTTTGATCGAATACAAAATCAGCATAGGTGAGTGGAAGCCCGGTCGCTAAGCAACCGATGAGTACACATTGTCAGCCGTATGATGCATACTTTGCTTGTCCACTAATGTTGTGTATGTACGTTGGCGCTTGTAAATAATATTAGCATAATCACGGAAATAATAAATAAATTAACATGCTTCTCAAATATTTGGGTACTGTCATGTCAGCGCAAGTGAGTAAAATATACATAAAATATACGTGACTTGAAAGTCTTTCAACACAATACCATGATTGTTTGACATTATATATCCGTTAAATTTATTTCTACATACTTATAAAGTAGTGTGTGTATTCTATTTTAAAAGGCCGTTGGATTTTATCATATGCCATTTATATTCTCTTTATATTTAAGGTAGAGTAATCGTTCTTATATTTATATAATTATACATTATGTAATTAGGAATTTGAAAATAGAGTAGTTGGCATAGCATGGTCGCCGAACAATTTGAAGCTAGCTGTTGCATCCGCGGATCGTTCCATCTACCTCTTCGACGAAAATGGTGTGAAACGAGACAGGTTTTCCACCAAGCCTGTTGATCCTAAGGTATACAATTATTTTCTGTGTATTTCAATAAGAATTTTATTCAATTTAATATTACTGACGCTTTTGTTTAGTATACAGAACTTTAAGTTTTTAATTTAACTAAAGATATTTAATATACTTACAATATAATTAATATAGCAATTAATATAATTAATTGAACAACGTACTATTTATTTACAGTTTGGCAAGAAGAGCTACATGGTGAAAGGTATAGCTTTCTCTCCAGAGTCTACAAAGATTGCAGTTGGTCAGACGGATTGCATTGTATATGTATACAAAATAGGGGAAGATTGGTAAGTGTATCGACGTTTGATCCTTCTTAGAAACTCTCAAGAAAGAGAATTAATAAAGTAACATAAATTATTTCATGTTTAATATTAACGATTGCTTCAGGGGCGACAAGAAGGTGATCTGCAACAAGTTTCGGCAAAGCGCCGCGGTGACCTGCTTAATCTGGCCAGCGGAGGGTCCGATCATCATCGGATTAGCGGACGGGAAGGTCCGCGCTGCTCTAGTGAAGTCGCAAAAGGCGCAGACTTTATACACTTCTGACGCTATGACGATAGCTCTGGCTAGCAAGTAAATTAAAGCTTCCCTGACGAAAATAAGAAGTTTCATAAACGTTTGTTTAGCGTTTACGGGAGCATTTGCGGGAGTCCGTTGAGAGTTTAAAAATTGTCAGTAAAGTGGAAATTGCAACACTGTAGCGTTTGAAAAGCATTTGCGTATTGGAAGAGCGTTTGCTGAACAGAGAGAAAACGCTTGTCTTACGGCGTTGTGGGAAGTGTTTTTTAAACGTTTTAAAAGTTTGACAGCAATCTCTCTGTACGAAGATATAGTGTTTATTGAGTGTACTTTGAAAAGCGTTGCTTCAGCATTGTAGAATTTTCATGAAATATTATATATAATATTTGAAGTATTGTAAGTTCTGAAAGCATTCAAAATCCAATGACGTTAAGTAAACGTTCATACAAAGTTTGAAAGCGTATAAACTCTGTGAAAATTCTCATCAAACAATTTATAAAGAATTTTATTTTCGCCAGGGTTATCAATTGTCATTTTAAGTCTTCGTGTACGTTACACAAAATAATCACACGGATATTACGCGCAATCATGCCGTGATGACCGTGAGAACAATCATTTACATTTGATCTCGCTGAAGATAATTACTTGTAATTGTAATTATTTATAATATAATTACTCGTGAATTTATAATTACCTGCGAATACCTATGTAATAATCTCATCGAAATCTCCAATATTGTGACGTTCTTAATACTTCGTAATCCTGACTTTCAGCATCCGCGGCAGCGGCTTTTTGTCGAGCCACGCGGACGGCAGCATCATCCGCTATTATGTCGCCGAGGACGGTGGCGCGGAGCCGTCGGGACGCGTGTGCGTCCACGGAGTGCCCGCTTACGCCTTGGCATGGCCGCAGTCGCACATTTTGGCTGGTGGCTGTGACAAGCGATTGACTTTATACGATCCTTACGGCAAACCAGTCAAGAATTTCGACTTCAGTCGCGACCCGCAAGAGCGGGAAATCACCGTGGCTTGCTGCAGTCCAAGCGGTCAAAGTGTCGCTGTGGGTTCCTGGGACAAGGTGCGCGTCCTAGACTGGACGCCACGTCGAGGTGTCTGGGAAGAGAGCAACGTGCGAGCCTTGCCGAACTTCTATACGGTCACGGCGCTCGCCTGGAGGCGAGATGGCTCCAAGCTGGCGATTGGCGGACTGTGCGGAGGCGTCGAGCAGTTCGAGACTATTTTAAGGTCATTTTTTTAAATAAATATCAATGGAGATGATGAAAAGAGGATCATCGTTTGAATTCTTGGCTCTTAGAAAGCAAATTTTCTATCTAAACTAGGACTTTTACCAGAAGCCAAGTTACGATTTCCCAGACTAGACTAGATTTTCTGTCCAACCTAAGATTTCTTCTTGACTTCTAGAAATAAAAATCAAATAGAAAACTCTAGTTTTGATTTTCCATTCAAGTTTCTTGATTAATTATAAGATGATTTTTTAAAATAAATCATTTTTTTAAATAAATATTAATGGAGATGATGAGAAGAGGATCATCGTTTGAATTCTTGGCTCTTAGAAAGCAAATTTTCTATCTAAACTAGGATTTTTACCAGAAGCCAAGTTACGATTTCCCAGACTAGACTAGATTTTCTGTCCAAAGATTTGATCTAAGATTTCTTCTTGACTTCTAGAAATAAAAATCAAATAGAAAACTCTAGTTTTGATTTTCCATTCAAGTTTCTTGATTAATTATAAGATGATTTTTTAAAATAAATCATTTTTTAAAATAAATATCAATGGAGATGAGAAGAGGATCATCGTTTGAATTTTTGGCTCTTAGAAAGCAAATTTTCTATCTAAACTAGGACTTTTACCAGAAGCCAAGTTACGATTTCCCAGACTAGACTAGATTTTTTATCTAACCTAAGATTTCTTCTTGACTTCTAGAAATAAAAATCAAATAGAAAACTCTAGTTTTGATTTTCCATTCAAGTTTCTTGATTAATTATAAGATGATTAATTATCCAAATACATACATATTTAAGATATTCAGAAATTGTCGAAGATCCTCCAATCTTTCACACTTTCCAGACGCACGGTAGTACGCGGCAGCCACGAAGTGGCCTATGTAGGTCCGAGCCAAGTGGTAATCCGACCTCTGAGCGACTCCTCGCATCGTTCCATCGTCGTGAGATCGCAGACTGGTCTCGAAATCGAGGACGTACGCATTTTGGGCCGTACGGACAACAACGTGGTGGCTCGCACGGCGCGTACCTTGCTGATCGGCGACATTGAGCTAGGTCTGATGAGCGAGATCCCGTGGGAGGACCGACCAAACGGCAGCGAGAAGTTCTTCTTCGAATACCCGGTGGTCTGCCTCATCTTCTGCTCGGGCGAGTTGACGATCGTTGAGTACGGCCAAAACGAGGCGCTCGGCTCCGTGCGAACCGAGGCGGTGAACCCGCACGTAGTGAGCGTACGCGTGAATGAACGACCTTCGTCTGCTGGAGGCGACAACAAGAAGCTGGCTTACCTGTTGGATCCGAGAACCGTCCGTGTGGTTGACCTCTTGACCGGTGGTACCATCAGCATGATCGTTCACGATGCTCGCGTCGACTGGTTAGAGTTGAGCGAAGCTGGTCATCGATTGCTGTCACGGGACAAGAGAAGCCGTCTTTGGCTGAGTGACGACGCGGGTGGAAGGTAGGAGCGCGAAGCATTTAGATACTAGTGTTAAGTCGGTGCGAAAGTTCGTTTTACTTCTCTAATAAAGTTAGAGACGAAATCGTAAACCTGAAGTGAGTTTTACGAGTAGTCTCACTGTCAGTTTCGATATTTTTTCTCATTCGGAAGAAAGCCTTTTAAATCGTTAGATAAAATTAATTAAGCAAATCAACAAAAGTGAACTTTACCGTTTAGGTAATCTATTTTTCGCAGTTAATTTTATATAAATGGTGAAGTCACCTGTTTGATGAGAAAATGACTTGACAGATGAACAGCCTTCTCTCATTGACTTAATATCTTTGTTGAAATTTAATATACAGCTGTTTCTTTATCAGGACGGTCCTATTTTTCTCATTTTATTCTTCTTTCGTTTTACGATTAGAGTCCTGTTGGTGACCGGAGTATCCTTCGCGTCCTGGGTACCCAGCAGCGACGTCGTAGTCGCTCAAACGGCTCAGACCTTGGCCGTTTGGTACAACGTAGATGCACCGGAAGCGGCCACTCTGACACCCATCAAGGGTGACGTGGTGGACGTTGTCCGAGAGGACGGTCGAACGTCTGTAATGGTGGAGGAGCATGGCGCCAAAGTTTCATATCTGTTGGACGAGGGACTGATCGAGTTCGGCACCGCGCTGCACGATAACGACTTCGGCAGGGTCGTTTTGTTCTTGGAGAACATGGGCGATGGTCCACAGGTGGAGACCATGTGGGAGAACGTCGCTAGGAACGCGATGAACGAAAGGAAGATCATGGTTGCCGCGAGATGTTACGCGGCAATGGGCGACGTGGCTTGTGCCAAGTTCCTGAAGGGAGTTGTCGAGGTGACTCTTTTTTTTCTAAAATCGTCATAGTGTCTAAAATAGCGACACGTTCTCGCAATATCTTTCCTGCAACATTTTTCTTCTTATATGAACAAGAATACTCGGTCTTGATTCTTTTCTCTTATTATTAAAAGTATTTAACGTATTTTCGCGATGGCAGTTTTGTCTCCTTCCGTTCTCCACCTAAATATTAAGTTGGTGCAAAAAGGTTTGTTGTGTTTATTAAAGAAAACAAAATTGCGCGCGTCCAAGATTAATAATTTTTACGAGTGAAATGAACAACATTGGTAATTTCTTAGATCTAACGAGGATTTCTCGAAATTCCTGCAAGGATTTAATAGAACAATAACAAATCTTTTGTACACACCAATATTAGAATAATTTTCCACTTTATCATTCCTTATTCCTCATCTCGTAATGTCTAACTTATTTGTTTCATTCGCTTCAAGATTGGCATAAAATATACCACGGAGACAGGTAACGATCCACTAGGCAATCCGGAATGCTGGGCTCGACTGGCAGTGTTGAACGGCGAGTTGAAGACCGCCGAGGCGATTTACCTCGAACAAAACGAGCTGGATAAGGCGTTGGAAATGTACCAGCGCTACTGGCACTGGGAAGATGCGCTGAATCTGGCACAGGGTCGTAGCTGGAGTGGACTCTCGGAATTGCGAGACCGTCATCTGGCTTGGTTGCTGGACAGCGGCCAAGCGGCTCGCGCAGCTTCCATTATAGAGAACACGAATCCCCGAAGAGCCGTCAAGCTCTACCTAGAGGCTCGTCGACCTGGACGCGCCGCTAGGCTGGTTCTCGCCGACAACGAGCTGCTGGAGGACGGGCGGATCGTCGAGGACGTCATCAGCGGCCTCAAAGCCACCGATCTCATGGAACTCGCCGGTGAACTGCTGGAGAAGACTTCCGCGGGCGCTGAGGCGATCGATTGTTATGCTAAAGCCGGTGTCTTCGCCAGAGCTCTCGACCTAGCGCGTAAGGTTGACCCTACACTGGTGGTCGGCCTCGAGAGGGACTGGGGGAAACATCTGGCAGCTGGTAGTCATTACGACGCAGCCATTAATCATTTCATCGAGGCGGGGGAGACGGTATTGGCATTGAAGGCCGCTATTAATGCGAAACAGTGGAGGAAGGCCTTGCAAATTATACAGGTGAGCTCTTGCGCGATGCAACATTTATATTCCACAAGCGTTATGTAAGATGGATCTTTGATATATTGCAGTATTCATTTTTCTTCGAAAAATTCTTCCTGTACTAATACTTGCCATACAGCACAAGATCTCCTAGGGACGTCCCAGAGATGTCCTAAGGATGTAGAAACGTCCCCAGGACATTCTCAAGACATACTCTGGACGTCTTCTAGACATCTGTGCTGTTAGGGTTGTGACCTTTTATATTCACGTCGTTACGAAAACATTTATTTCGTCAAGGTATACTTAATCTACATATATGTATATTTAAAATTGTAATTAATAATCGCCAGTTTTAATTATATTTCCACATTGACTGGCCCCAATTGTTGCCAAATTGGTATATGATTTTAATCAAGAGTCACACCCATATATCGTTAAACGAGATTTCGACAACTCTCTCTAGAAATTTTTTAGAATATTTGATTTAATTGTTTCTTAGATATTATTAATGTATTCAAGATTCTAATTGTATGTTTGAAATTACTTAAAATACGCGTTCATCATGTTAGGTGATCGAAGATGACGATGCCGAGATTCGTCAACAATGCGAAAAGCTGGGCGAGTATTTCTCGTCGATCGAAGAACGGTCCTTGGCGGAAAATCTCTTCATTCGCGCCGGCAATCCTCGGCGCGCCGTGGAGACTCACGTACAGGCAAGCGACTGGATTCGCGCGCACCAGGTGGCTCAGGAATATATGAAAAGCGACGAGGCCAACGAAGTGCTAGCGAAACATGCTGAGAATCTACAGCAGACCGGCGAGCTCCGGCATGCCGAGGCACTCTATGTCGCCATCGGCGATCACGACGCGGCGATTGCGATGTATCGTAAAGCGGGAAATCGAGGAGACATGATTAGATTGGTCGCCGAGCATCGGCCTGATCTTCTTCAGACCACTCATACGCACTTGGCAAGGGAATTGGACACGGCTGGCAAGCCGAGAGAGGCCGAGGAGCACTTCTTAGGTTAGTGTCGAATTGAAACTGATTGCAATAATCAGTATTAAGCTATGAAATGAATGAAGGACTCTTTCGTTTTGTCTTCCCTCAATAAATAATCATGAATTTAATCCTTGACTGATGTCAACATTATTATGTTGTTGAATATTAACTACAACTGTCGTTTGTTATATAAATTATCTCTGTCGGTACATAAAGTTAAGATATCTCAAATAGAAATCAATGATTTATGAGTATATGACTTGCTTAATTAATACGTAAAACGTGTTTCGTTCTAGGTGCTGGTGATTGGCGCGGAGCAGTCGCAGCTTATAGATCCGCGAATATGTGGGAAGATGCGTTAAGGGTCGCTAAGAAAGCTTCAGGGGAGAAAGCAGCCCAGCAGGTTGAGATCTGTATAACTTGTAGAGATATTATAACATGTACTTGGATTTTGCCTATTGTACCTGTTATAGATCTTGATAACTAATTGATCGATTGATGTTACTATACTAAATTTTTCTTCCTCCAGGTCGCCTTAATGTGGGCCCGAACATTGGCTCCAGAATTGGGCGCACGATTGTTGATGCGGCTCAACTACCTGGAACCCTGTCTGCAACTAGCCTGCGAAGCCAGTCTGTTCGAGTGGGCCTTGGAGATCGCTAAGTACGGCACGGCGGATCAGAAGAAGGAGGTGCACTATCGCTACGCTATGGCGCTGGAGGATGAAGGCCGCTTCACCGAGGCCGAGAAAGAGTTCGTGCAGGCTGACAAGGCGATGGAAGCCGTGCAGATGTATATTCACAATCGCGACTGGGAGTCCGCCGAGGATGTCGCGCGCTCGCACAGTCAGGACGCGGTTGCGCAAGTCCTAATCGCTAGAGCCGCCGAGGCTGCCGAGAGCCAAGACTACGCCTCGGCGGAGGCTCTTCTCTTGAGGGCTCACAAGCCGGAGATGATAATAGAGTATTATAAAGTCAGTTCCCTGCCGAAGAATGGATCGTGCAAAGAGTTTTTCGATTGGAAAATAATAATATCTTGTGTAATCTTGTTTTCAACAATGAAATTTCTTTAAATATAGATTTGGAGAAGTTTTCTTATTATCGTGTCTTGCGCGATCGAGAATGATTTCGATTTTAATTTTACTTCATGTGGTAGACGTGTCGAGACGTTAAGAGAAGAGCTTCCCACTCGATCCAATAGCTTTATTGATTCCTGTCAAAATGTTTTCTTCGAGTTTTCAAGATTCGAAAGAGTTTTTTACACGATCCAGTAATATTTTCGTTAATTTTTCGTTTAACGCTCATATCGATCGAAGTTCTCTTCCTCGCCTCATTATCTTTTGATTGCCTACTCATTATACTTTCGTTGTATCTTTTACCTCGATAATTACCTATTTCATGCTTTTCCAATTCCTTTATAATCTTCCAGCCAACCTAAAATTTAAATTCGCCATTTATCCTTTCATTTCGCGATCCTCTCGTCCCTTCGTTATTTGCTCTATGACTTTTACCGACCGCTCATTATCTTATTATTCTTCAGCGCGTACTTTTACCTTGCCGCGTTCTATTTCGGTGAATTTCATCTCTGTAATCGAATTCTTCACTTCAGACGGCCGGAATGTGGTCCGAGGCGCTGCGAGTTTGTCGAGAGTACTTGCCCAGTCAAGAAGCAGCTCTTCGCAGAGAGTTGGGCCAGAAAAGCGCAGGACTCGACGGAGCGAACGCGTTGGAGGAAGCTCGCAAGTGGCTCGAACTCGGAGAAGTACGACCAGCCTTGGATACTCTGATCCTGAACCCGCAAGCGCCGCGATCGTATCTGATTCGCGCGGCTGACATCCTTTTGCATCAGGCGGATCCCGAAACAGCAACGGAAATTGGCGGTGACTTGGGTACCCGCTTGTTCTCCGTTGGCGAACACGCCCTTGCTGCTCAGGTACTTCTCTCCTTAACACTATTTATCTATCATTAGCTCGATGTGTCTAATTATTAATTATTTCGAACTCTAGGAATTATTTTTTAATTATTTTGAGTTATCAATTTGATAAGTTGGACAAGGCAGGAATAGATCTACCAAGATCTCGTGCCCCGTAGGTATTCCTTCAGGCGGATCGACTGAAGGACGCAGTAAGCTCGCTGGTGGCGGTCGGTGAATGGGATCGCGCGCGTCGAATCGTCCGCGAGCTCGCGCCCGACCTCGAACCTTATCTTGAGGAGAAGTATCGCGACGCGATGACGAATGAGGGCGAGATGGAGCGGCTGGCGGAGGTGGACGGTAACGCGGCCCTTGAGATGATGGCGCGCAAAGGTCAATGGAGTCAGCTGTTTGAGGCCGCGAGCTTGCAGAGCCCGGAGATACTGCATCGGTTCGTGGCGCGACGCGCCGCGCAGTTGCTGAAGAGTGACTCAGCGCCGCAGGCGTTGCAGCTTTACGTGCAATACGGCGCGCCCGCGATCTCACAGAATTTCAATCTGTACCTGCAATTGGCGGAGAACGTCCTGAACGCGACTCAGCAGGAATACAGGTACGAGGTGTTATCTCAAGATTATATGAGAACCCGCGGGAAATTGAGGAGGCTTTCCTGTGTCGAGGGTTCTTGCGCCGTCTTCGTGTTTCTCCAGCGAGGAACTCCGGAGTCATGGCGGGCGCTTCATAGCATGTTTTTCTGATGCCCATGAATCACCTGTTTCCATTCGTGATCTCGTTCGCGCGTGGTTCTTTTGTTTTCAAAAATAAACCTCCAAATCTTTCAGTTTCTTCCGTCTAAAAACTCTGATTTATCCGGAGGTTTCTTCTAACTTTTTTCTCTTCTTTCAATAAATGTACATCAATGCTAGAAAAATGATTCTATTATTCGAAATTTGTTTTTTTCATAATGTGAAGTTTTTCTTGATACTCGTATCTTCTTCTCTTTGTTATCAATTAGGATAACGAAGGGTTCGTATATTTTTAATTCATCTTCTATTTTTTCATCTTCTTTATCCCTTTATTTAATATTCGATACGATTCTAGATATCTGGCACAACTGCGTGACATTCTGCATAGTCTTTGCCGTTCGTCGCCACCCAGCGACAGGTTCGAGCGACTTCTGGAAGCCGCGCACCTCTCCGCGGTGAAACACGGCTGTCGTTCATTTCCAGCGCTTTCTAACTTCGTCGTCAAGGCGTCGGTCAGTCTACTACGACACACTGACGTCCTGCATGCCGACAGATGTTACTACGAAGCAGGTACCGCGGCGCGTGACGCTGGTCTCCTGAGCGAGGCTTTTGTCTTTCTCAATCACTTCCTCGACTTGGAGGAATGTATCGAAGAAGAGGGCGACGGCAACGTCCTCGACGTGGACGATCTCCGCGTCACCGATTTTCCGTTGGAGGTGCCGCTTCCGGAGCACCTTGGAGTCGCTCAGAATCAACGCGAGGAGGCGAGAGAGTGGGTGCTGGCGGTGTCAATGGATCAGAAAATCGAGCAGGGTCTACCAGTCGATCCGAGAAGTGTCTACGTGGGCTCGTTAACGTCGCCGACTAGCACGGGCGCGCCTCTTCAGCAATGCGTGATCACAGGCTATCCGGTACGTGGTCCAGTCATCAGATTCGAGGAGTCCAGTCGCGTGGCCGACCGCGACGACTGGACCAAGCTGGTCAACACGGCTAGACAGGCGCCCACAGATTCGCCGCTCAACGACATCCTGGTGTTTCTTCAAGAATGGTGTGGCACGGCGCCTAAGTACTCTTTCTGAAGAGAAAGAGAGCTAAGAGATCTCTCTATCAGTCATAGCTGGAAATCTCTCAACTAGTTCTAGTTGGAAATCTCTCAATCAGTTCTAACTAAAGAGAAAAATAAATGCTAGTATAAAAAATTATCTTGCATATTGTACTTATAATAATAAATAAATAATTAATAAAATAATAAGTTTTCAAAAATTTGATTGATATCTATTTGTGCTCTTTTAACTAATGTTTTTTCGTCTTAAATAATTCGATTCGAATATCTCTTTCTCTCTAAGAGGTGATCTGAATACATCTCTTTCTCTTTTTTCCTTTTTCAATAATTATTAATTTCTAAGGCGACTTATAAATTCGTAGTTAATAAAAAATCGTTTGCATTATTACTCAAAATTATATAATGTTCATTATGGAACTCTACAGTAGGAAAGAAAAGTAGGATTATTGTTGAGAAAGATGCGTATTGTTTCCCACCGTAATTACATTCTGATCTGAAGAAGACGGATGTAAAAATGTGGGGAGCGTCGAAATTGTTGCCCGTTAATCCTTCTTTCAGTCAGACAGTACGTTCGTCCTGCTGGATAGCTAATGAAGCTATGAGGCTCAAGCGGGTAGGTAGCAGCGGATGATAATTAACCGCTTCGCAAATACGCTCGGCTTTGGTGCATTCCATAAGCCAAAAAGCCGTCCGTGGAATTCGGTGGTTCAAAGTAAAGCAAATACACGCACATTTGCACGCACACACGGGCGCTCGCGTATGTGTACGCGGGTAGGTGTGCGTGCGTTTATATTGACTCGAAATCGCAGCGAGCTTAATACACGCCGCGGGAGACAAATGATGCTAGCGGCTATGTTGCTGATGTTTAACAGACGCGTCACGATATTTATCAAGCGACTTAATACAAATTACAAATATAGAGAGCTCCGGCGAAATTGGTGGAATAATATTTAACGAAGGAAAGAAACGTGCGCGCAAAAGTACATGTGATATAAATACAATATTATCTTCTTTTTTCTCTTTGCTGCACTACAACTTCAATATTGTTTCACTTCGCGTTTTATCTTTCATTATTGTTAATTGCAATTACGTTTCTTTGTGTGCCGTCTGAGAGATTGCTTTGGCACGTATTGAGGGCCTGCAAAGATAGCAACATTAGAAAGTTGCATTAAACAAAAGTAAACCAGTTATTTATTAGAAGCGATATTTTATATAAATTGTATACAAGATTATAATAGAAATTTATCTTGTAATTTCTTTTTTATCCTTGATGCAAATGTTCTTTCCACTAAAGAGACAATAAAGAAATTTGCTCGAGCAAAGTTCGATGAAAGGAAAACGCGATTGGTACAACGCGCCTTGCGACGGTTACGGTAATTCCCACGCGGCAGACATCTTCGATTTTCCAATAATTACCGCATAATAGCACCTATACAACTTTCAGACACTTTAAAGCGGTCTAAAAGGGCGCCGGAAAAAAGGGAGCGACGAGAGAAAACGTCTCTTCTCGGCGGGACCTTCGCCTTCTTCCAAGAGTTCGTGAAAGCAGGTCGATTGCCGGACCATTAAAGGAGCTCGACGATTAATTTAAATAAATGCGCCGCCATTATGACCGTGGAACACTTACCTTACTTGTGAACGATGGTGGATATTCAAATACGGATCTCTTCGCCGAAAAGTCACGAAGTACTAATCTCTGGTGACGAATCGCGGGATTTCCCTCTGAAATATTCCGACGAAGAACCATGGTGGTAGCTTAATTTCGGGCTTACGTAGCTCGAAATCTCGACAACGCGAATTAACTCGACTGCCTCGGAAGGAGTCAAATAATTCAGCCAAAAAAAAAGAAAAAATATTTCATTAATGAAATTTGCACGTAGAATTACGACATTGTACGCGAGTACACTGAGAGAAAAAATATCTAAGAAATAAAGTATTTATTCGATGGGTAAAAGTAAACATATTTACTCTTACATCAATATAAAGTATTCTCCAAATAAAAAAATATATGTTTTCGTAAAATCTTATCTTTCCATAAAACAATTGTTCATTCTATTTAAAAAAAATTTATTCCATTTAATTATTTATTCTATTGAAACAAAATGCAGATTTAAGTTAAATATATTATTAGTACCCATCGAATTTCTATTTTTAAGAAAATTTTCTCTTAGTAAATAATGTGTGTATGTGAGTGTATCTCTTACATATATATTATATAAAAGGTCGGGGTGAAAAGACGAGACGACAAGCAAAGTTGCGGAGAGTTGCACGTCAAAAAATTGGTATATATAATAACAATAATATATATAATATATATAACGTATATGCATGTATACATTGTTCTTATTACAACAACTTCATTTACCCTATCCTAACCCAAATCGCCGAAATCGGATTCGGGCGACCGTTTGCACAATATGTGTGTGTATATAATATGTATATATATATATAATATCGTGTAATATATTATATTTATAATATATTAACATTTTGCATCTTTTGCGTGGACTTCCTTGGATACTTAAACCTAGCGCATTTTAAATTACAAAAAATCGGTTGACCTAAAACCCGCCTCGGATCTTCGTACTTTTCGCTTCAAATTGGACGTCTTCTTCCTGTTCGCCTAAGTGCGCCGGACGTTACCCTAATCCTAGATCTATCCTAATCGCTTCGGTTCTCGTGATGAGAGATGCGTATTGAAAAAACGTCAGAAAACACTTCGAAACGTCGCACACAAAAATTCGAATTCTATCAAATTCTCGGACGAATAACTCTTGTTTCATAGTATATGCCAAATGTATTAAATGTATTAAATAGAGCGTTCACAATATGATACATCGATAACGGGATAAATCTAAAAGTCCTGATCTTTTTTCTCTTTCTCATGAGCCTCGGCTCGTTCCGCGAGTTGTAGCAAAAGTGTCACGGGCTGTTCTCTCCCTCAGGAGGCACTTCGCAGGAACTCGAGTGCGGCAAGTTCGTAATTTGTAAGATATCTCCCCTTATAGATCACGGCTCGACACAGGTGCTCCCACGAATGTCGCGGACTTACTTTGCCTTTGCTGCGGAACCTCTCGTTTAACACTCCACAACTCCGTTAACGCAGTTAAGATAGTTAACAACGCTAAGCGCACGCTTAAGCAGTTAACATCGTAAAACTATGTTAACACAGTTAAGGTATGACCAAGTTCATCCTCACCTCACGCTTAACACCGCGCGCATGTGATCGTGTTAATCGTTCCTTCAGGATCCGGAAGATCTACGCGGAAGACTTCTCTTCGCGCTGATAACGCCAAGTGATACGCGCGCGCGGAATGACATCCGAAACGATGGAAGTGCGATACGTGCAATGCGCCGTGAATATGGAGAAAAAGGCTCGTACGTTTGCTCGTGAGAAAGAGAAGACATTTCGCGGACTGATGATCGCGTGGCAGTCGATTCTCGTCTCGCGATGGGAGCTGCGCGACGAAGGAACTTCTACGACGAGGGGAGGACGCGAGTCGGGCCTCTTTTTCCCGTCCGGATCGCGAGAAACACGTGATCTTAGAGCACGAGCTTGTCTCATGACAGTGCCGGGGCAGAGCGGTCGTTAGTCTTCGTCTTTCGCAGCTTCACAGTCGCGAATATGTTAGTCCTGAAAGGCGTTAATCGTGGTTAATCAGGGCGCTGGGGGTTGCTCGGGTGGGTCCATAATTACTGGACGATCACGTACGAACTCTGGAATTTCGAGTGAACAAAATGTCGGGACCAAAAAAAAGGACGACTTTCTTCAGAAGGATATACTGTGAGAATACCTTATTAATATCGTACTTTAATTTAGTTCGGAGTATTATCTCGGCGTCGTTTAGTCAGACCAAACGACATCCCCCACGACATTGGGAGAAATTGAATTCAAGCAATTGCTTAAATCCTAAGTTCCTAAATCCTAAGTACAAAGAAAAAGAGACACGTGCGATCTCGAGCCAATTTGCAATACAATCAAAGCGACCGATAAAAATTAAAAAAAAATGGCAAGATTCTGAAACAATTGCGAGTGATCTAGCGCACGGCTTTCACTACGCCAGCAATAGCAAAACAGAGAGAAAAAGAGAGAGAAAGAGAGAGAAAAAGTGAGCTAACGCGTGCACAGCATACGGTAGACAATAACACACTGTTCACAATCGATGGGGCGATGCGTCATCCGATACAGTTGCTCGCTCCATCTCTGTAGAGGAGACAAGACGCCTAGAAGTCGTCGCAAAAGTGTATCGAGCGCTTTCTTCGACGATGCTGCAAGCTCCTACAACATCAACAGCCGATCGTTGAAGACGAGACAAAGCAACGGGCAGGATTCAGCCAGTGCGAGCACACACATATTGAAATTGGGGACGGAGTCGTTCATTCACGAATCTATTTGGTGACCATGGAAAGATTCGGGATGAACAAGCTGGTCGGAAGAACCTAAGGGGTTGGGGGTGAGAGTAATGGTAATGCAAGGTTCGTGTACGACGAGTGCGAACTCGGTGCTCGGTTTGTCGATTCAAATCCACTTGAGACAATTTGAATCCTCTCGCTCGAAAATGACGAGCGCAAACAAACCGAAAAAGAAAAGAGGAAACTCAAAATAAGATTGCAAGCAAAGTGAATCGCCGCCTCGCCCATTCCACGCTTTCTTCTTCTTCGTCTTCTTCTTTTTCTTTTCTCGAAAAAAGACTCTACTATCTTTTTTCGAGAAGAAATCTTTTTTTATCTCCTCTATATATTCCACTTTTCGCTCAACGGTCACATCGTCTCCGCTCCACACATCGACTCTTCATCAACTTCGATATCGATTTGTGTTATTTTCTTTACCTTCATCATCATCATCATCTTTGCACATCAGCTCGCGTCAGCTCTGCTTACTGCTGCTTCTTCTTCTTCTTCTTGTTGACGGACGCGTCCACACCCCAAAGATCGTACCAAGGTCCACAGGTGTTTCTATCCCGATCAGAATCCCGTCTGAGCTTGGTCCTCGGCAAGAGCGTCTTTTCCGGCACGCTCTGGTCCTTGACAACGATGCAGCTGTAGGTAGACTCCTCGTCAGAGGCTTCGGTCTCGCTGAAATTGAGCGTTGCGTCCTCCTCGTCGTCGTAATTCCTTCTGCCGCGCGTCATCATTTCGTTGCGCTTGGTCTCGTTGTTCTCCTTCAGCTCGGCCACGATCATGTTCCGTTTGGCCTCGAGACTGCGCCTACGCTCCTTTTCAATAATCGCCTTACGTGACACATTGCCGATAAAGTATGTGCGCTCCTCTGGTTGTTGCTGATGCTGCATCCTATATTCCGACCTCTCCGAGATTTTCGGCCGCTCCGCCGGTGTTGGGAAGTCTTCGAAGTAATCCGACTTGTCTGGCACGTGACTTCTTTCGGCCGGTTTCGGCTCTTCGTGGTGGTGATGCTCGTTCGTGATGGTACCCTCGCTGTTGCCCAGACTCGAATTCGGACTGCCGCCGTCGGAGTTCCTCTGCTTCTCGTCGTTCTCCTCTAACTTGTTCTCTCTGCGGATCATCTTCGGAATGTCGACAAGCGAGCGATGTTGCCAAAGCGCCATACCTTCCAACACCTCCGAGTCCCGGCGAAACTTCCAGAAGGACTTGGTGCGCTTCACCAGCTTCGGGCTCTTCGGCTGCTCCTCGAAGGCTCTGCCGGTCTGCGCGAGGTGACCCATGGCGGTGGTCTGTCGCGGTGGCAACGGCTTCCGCTCAGCCTTCAGCGTGTTGTTGTTCGTATCGCCGTTGCTGCGCTCGTTATCTCTCGACGTTACGTTGCGCTTCTGAAGACCTGGCCCTTGCAGGTCCGCATGATAACCGTGTCTCTCGATCACCTTCGATCTCTCCAGCTTGGTCTCGAAGTTCGACTCGTAGCCGCGATCTCTCTCCAGCGAGCCTACCCCGTACCGTCCAGTTTCTCCGTAGATAGCCTCCTCCTTGTCCGAGTATCTGCGCTCTCGGTAAGGTCCCATCGGCCGTTCCGGAGCCTCCTGCGATGGCGGTCGAGGTCGCTCGAAGCGTCGACTCGACAGTCGCTCGACTGTCCTGTTTCGATTCTTTTCAAACGTTCGCTCATAACCGGTCATCTCCTTCCGCTGCTCCAGATACGCGCGCTCCTGCTCATTCCTGGCGCGATTCCGCTGCCCATACGATTGAGCTTCCTCACGGGACCGTTGGAAACTCTGTTTATCTTCTCTCGAGCGCTCAAAGCTCTGCTTGTCCTCTCGCGAGCGCTCGAAGCTCTGCTTGTCCTCTCGCGAGCGCTCAAAGCTCTGCTTGTCTTCCCGCGAGCGCTCGAAACTCTGCTTCTCCTCGGCTCGAGAGCTTCGCTCGAAAGCTTGCTTGTCCTCGCGAGGACCTCGCTCGAGCGAATGTCTGTCGTCTCGCGGGCGTTTCTCGTCGCGCGGCCGCTTGTCATCACGTGTGCGCTCGAAAGTCTTCTGGCCACCTCCGCCTTCTCGGCCGCGCTCCAAACTCTTGTACTCCGTCGTCGGCATTCTCTCGCGACGCGAGTGAACAGCTGGCTCACGTGCATTCCTCTCCAAACTCTTGTATTCGATCGCGCTCGCTCGATCGCGACGCTCCAAGAATTTAGGCGGGCTGTGCTCGCGTGCGTACTTCTGAGCGGTCTGCTCGAGCTTTTGCGCGATGTGCTCGACCTTCCGACCCGGCTCCGGAATGGTAATGGTGCTCTCGTCGTCGGACTCTGACGGCGAGCTCGAGGACTTGGCGTACTTGTCCGCTTCGAAGCCGTTTCCACCTCTGCGCTCTTGTTGAGACCCCTGATTGTCCGCGTAGAACTTATTGCCGCGATATTCGACCATACCGAAGTCCTCCTCGTCCTCCTCGAGATCGTCCTCCTCGGTTTCCGCTTGCGTGCGCTTGTCAACACGACGTTGGTCGCCGCGCCGAGTGGCAGCTGGGATACCCCGCTCGTCCGACATCTTGGTGGTGCGTTGATTCGGACTAGGTCGTTCGTTAGTCGCCTGCGCCGCTTTCTTGCTCTTTCTCTTTTTCGCTACGTCACCGTTCTCCAGCGCGAAGTCGCCATTCTCCACCTCGTAGTACTTCTTAGAGTCCTCGCCGGTCTGATTCGCCTTCGACTCCGCCCAGAGGTCCATCGCGGTGCGATACAGCTGCCAGGACTTCTCATCCCGCGGGATAGTTTTCCAGGAGTCGTTTTCCCAGTCCTTCGACTGTTGCTGCTGCTGCTGCTGCTTCTCGTCCTTCGGGGGCGCACGTTCCCCTCCACCTCGCGGCTTCCGGCGCCGTTGTCTGCGTGCGCGGCGCGGTGAATAAAATAAAGAAAAAAAAAGAAGGAAGGAGGAAGAGAGGGCGAGAGAGGGCAAGATGTCGGAACAGACCGGGTGAGGGCCGGAGAAGATGCAGAGGACTACCACCATGACGATTTATTTCCAGCGACCACGATAGCGCATGCGGTATCTACAAGAAGGAGAGATACAACTTCGAAGAAATGGGGATAAGTGATGCTTTTTTCGTGTGGGAAATGCATCAAATTTAATTAAAGATGAGCAAAATTTATTAAAAACTTGTTTTCTGTCGATTAAAAGTATCGAAATAGATATGAAAAATCTAGATAACGCTAATTTTCAATTTCCAAGTGAACAAATAAAAAAAGCAATCATATATATAACACAATATGAGAATAATTATTTGGCACGTCGCAATGTGAAACTGCGAAATAAAATTGCAAAATTAAACGAGTATATCAACAAAAAACGAGTATATATATCAACAAAAGAAAAAATATAAATGAGATGTTATTACATAAAAATATAAGTGAGATGATATAACACTGATGAGACAAAATATTCCACAACCTCGGTCAGCATTCATTTTTCTTCCGTATTGGCAAAGGGAAAGTAATAAAGGAGATATGATAATCGTTACCTGCTGAAATCCAGTTTAAGGACTGCCAAGTCAGACTTACCATGCCCATCATACCGATCCTAGCAAATCCTAGCAAATCCTGTTACGCTTCTTGCAAATTTTGCGGAATTTAACACTAACACGGCGGCTACTAACGGGGCGAAAAAACTATTGCACTCTATCGACTACATTTCGCGATCCGGCCATTTTATAATAATCTTGTTTCTCGAAATCAGCTGTATACGTATCGCACAGCAATTATCGCGAGCGAGCAAGTAGACACGCAAATCGCATATTTCGTTATTACGACAATCCGATTTCGCGTCATCCGAAATTAATTACAGCGGCACATCGTGTACGCCACGCAGAACCCTCCGCGCGCAAAGCCCACGTGTCTACACGGCACAATTCACCGCCCCCGGATCTTTATTTCTCACAATAGCGTCACAAACCAATCCAATTGAATGCCAAGGGTAAGCGAGGTTGGGGCAACGGCAGAGAGGTGCAGATCGTACTAATTACAAGGGGACAGCAGATAGCAGAATAGCGAAGCTACGAGGCGATGATACAAAGCTTCAATCGCGCTGAATAGGGCAAAGCGGGGGTGCGCGCTTATCGGCTGGTTATCAGGGCGTCGAGGGCCAAGGGGAGGGGAGCAAAGGTATGAAAGGGTCAAAAGACCCGAAGTACCGAGTAACAAGTGATTCACTCGGGCGTCTGCGGATGCACAATGACAGTCTATGTTTCTACTACGTGCGAGACAAAACTGAGAAACCGATATAATCTCATGACGATCGATTTTCATTGTTGCACCGCGAGCAAATGTAAAAGTTTCATGTCGGTCGTAGTAAATAATCGTAGCGATAGCTTTTCTAGTTTATGTCGTTGTGATTTCAACTCAGCGAAATTACACCGGTTTCTACTCCCGTTGTAAACTACATAAACCAAGTGATTTTCTTCCGTCACGACAATAACCGAGGTGATTCAAGCCACGCGCTACAAGAGAAACTCTTTCTCCGCGCGTACCTGCAATATTTATAATATATTCTTCTATAACTTTAATTTCCTATGACTTTACGTCATTTATTTATGTCATTTATTCATTCATTTATCATCTCTCCTTCTTATTACTGCTCAAATATTGCTAATTTTATGACAATATATGCAAAAAATATATGTAGCTTTTATAATTTTATGATATTAAAATAATATTTTCGCGCGACCGATAATGATGTTGTCTCTTTCGTACGTAGACAAGCGACAAAACTTGCTCCTCCTTCGCATAGTTTACGTAGTTTACACGCGGGAATTCCGACCGAACATCACACACGTACGACGAGCAAATGTGAGTTCATAGCCCGCGGCGTGCGCCTTGGACTTACCTCATCGCCTCGTCGTCGCTGTAATCGACATCAGGCTGCACCGGCGGCTCGTTGGAGAACCCGCTGTCGTTGCTGCTGTGGAGGGACGTCATCGCCGGAGGTGGCACCGGGGGTACAGGTGGCTGTACCCGTCGTCCTCCGGCCAGCACCGCGGGCAGTGTGCCCGATGGACGGATCTGGAAGCCAAGACGATGAAGGTATCTTTCACGTCCCGCATCTCAAAGTTTCCTCCTAATCAATCTCGAAGTCTGCGATGTGTACGCGGTTGCGACGGTGCCGCGGAGTTTGCTCAAACTTCCGCATTTCCCGACAATATACAATGTCGATTACGAAGGTATCGCCAAGTCATCTCGTTAATTAGTGCGAGGAAGAAGAACGATTCGACACTTGAGGGTGCGACTCTTTAAAATTCATGTGGAGTTTAAACGAGCTGCCAGGCCAGGGGCCATGCAGAATTCATATTGCGCCTGACGTCCGACTTATGACGTCTTACGACGTCTGAATATCTATCCAACAGAAGAATTAGTTTTCTGAGAAAGAAAATGTCGCTAGCTAAAAATAGCAAGTAACAAACTTTAGTTTTGGGCATTGAATTATCGTATGTCGGATGTCAGATGCAGTATGAGTCTTGTATCAGGCAGCGTGGCAGGAAGTGATAGAATAGCAGGCAGAGAGTCCGGATATTCAGAGAAAGACATGTTGTTTTTCTTTGTACTTGTAAGAGTTAGTCCTCTTTAGTATCTTCATGAAAGATTCTTGTTAGCAAGCAACTGAAGTGAGAGTACAATCTCTCATACGATCTCTCTCACATATCTCGATCCTATAATTCGTTATAATCAAAACGTTTCTTATCACTCTTTACTAAAAGACTTTGACGATTTCACACTCGATAAACCTTTATGAATTTTTGCACGTTGTTAATAGCATTAATTACGCCGGCATAATACCAATTATCTCGTCTATTAATGCAAGAAAAAACAGTTCAATGGCATTAGTCTTTAAAACTCTTTAAAACTCTTTATAATCAAAACATTTCTTATATATATCACCCTTTGCTGAGAAAAGTTTGGCAATTTCACGCTCGACGAATCTTTATGAACCTCTACGTTGTCAATAACATTAATAACGCTAATATTAATTGAACGAGCACACGATATTCTATCGTTTTTCAGACGTGTTCTACGGAGATCTACCGGCTTACCGATTTCGATTGACGCGCGGTCGGAGTCGCCAAGACGCTCGGGTTATTGGTTGGCGTGCCGGTAGCGCTGCCATTGTTGTTGCCAGCGTTGTTAGTGCTGTTGCTGCCGTTATTGTTGTTGGCGGAGCTGTTACTGGGAGTTCCTGCGGACTGCTCATCGATACCGGCCGGCGTGACCGGCGGTCGAGAGGGTGGTGGTTTGCACGGCGGAATGGCCTGTGGCTCCGGTGTACGACCGTTGCTTGCACCATGACTCGGGGATCTTGGGATGATCGGATAACGCGTTCGTTCATATCGCTTGGACGTTCGTCCCTTCGCACTCGCAATTTGGCGCGCGAGGCGGTGAATTTATTTTCATAAGATCCCGAGTAAATAATTCTCCGTCGCTATTAAAATTTTGCCTGCGGCCGGTTGAACAATGAGACAAAAATAAATGTGTTTTTTGAAAAATCATGCGTTTTTGAAACGAATACATATTATTGAAAGTAATGAGAGCTATTGACGGAGCATTAATTGACACTTATTTAACGGGACACAATGCGGAAAGGCCGATAATGATATTCAAAGTCCGTACGCGGTAATAATATTAAATTTCGTTAAAGGATTGAATTTTTTACCGACTCCTAAATGCATAGTATTCGTGCGACATACCCGGAGGGCACGAGAGGATTAACATAACGAGTGATCGTAAACGCAAAATTTTGTCATTACCGCACTTGAGGTCGGCCAAGATTTACTCACCCCAAAGTGTCGTCGATTATAATTTCAGTATACGCCAGGGGAAACCACCCTGAGCTTTGAGTGCGAAGGTTCTCGCCAAATTGCCATCCCTTTTGCCGGTCGCCTGATAAGAAAAAAGAACAGAAAATATGTAAATCCACGGCGCAAAACTCCATATTCTAATCAACATTTTCTTCTCTTTCGTAACGGAACTTTCCTCTCTAATCCTTAACGTTCGGCTCTGCTTATTTAGATAACGCAAAATAATCTACTCTTACTTTATCGAGTCTCCCATCTTTATCGCCAACAATAAAACCTTACTAATGTCGATGAAACTCCCCTAATTAATCGCGTTTACTCTGCTATATATTTTCTATTTCTTTCTTCCTTCTGCCTCATAAAAGAGCGAAGGATTGCGTTTATGGCGGCCCAACGTGCGGTCTCACAGTACAACGGTCCTGCGATCTTAAGGGCGATAGTCCCCGGATATACCGTGTATCGACGCGAGATCAAACTCACCCATCAGCGCGATGAGATCACCCTCCAGGAAGCTCAGCTGATTCTCCCCCGAGCTGAGGTAGGCGAAGAGAGCCCTGGCGAGGGGTGCATCTCCCCAACCTCCAACGCTGACCCCGGTGCCAACGCCGCTGTTGCGGGACGCGGGGGGTGCCATGGATCGAGGCCGGGGTGGAGTCTCTGGAACCTCTGGAAACCAGAAGCTCTGTAACTGACCGGGCCGGTGTAGCACATATGGGGAGGAGGACGCGAGGATAGCAGGGAGGGACAGCAGGAGGATGAGCCGGGATAATGCGGGGGTAGTTTCGGGGTAAACCAGGGCAATTAGGTCAGCGGACGATAGCGGCGCTCGGGGTGGAGGATGTCAGGACGGAGAGCGGATGGGCATCATCCCCGAAGGGACATCGTGAATGGACGTAGGCAGGGAGGGAGGGAGGGAGGGAGAGAGAGAGAGAGAGAAATAGAGAGACAGACAAAGAGAGAGAGAGAGAGAGAGAGAGAGAGAGGTGGGGTTCGTGTCCGCGATCTGCGAGAATCGTCTAGAAATATATTGGCGGCGGGATATTATTAACGTAGCGCGTGGATCGTTTGTAAGTTGTGGTAAATTAATTCGACGCGCGAATATTAAACGCGCTACAATGGCGGCGCGCTTGCGCGACGTGATTTTCGACGTTGAATTAATTGCGAAGGCACAGGCGAGATTAATTAAAACTTTAATTCGCCATCGTAACAAATGTAACGGAGATATTTGCATTTTGTCTGCTTTTCGCGCTTGTTTGTCGAACGCGAGCGTGCGCGCACAAATAAGTCGATATAAACGCGCGGCGTAAAATATTTGCGCACAATGTCATTACCGCACACGCGCGCGGAACTTCCGCTCTCTGTCCGCTCTTTAGTGGCGTCCGCGCGTTTCGTGCTCCCTTGTAACCTTTTTTTCTGTTGTTCCCATTTTTTTTCGCATTTTCGAGTCACGAGTGCATTTATCCCGTGCTCTTTAATGCGCGCAAAATGCGACACGCAGCAACCGAAAAAAGGAGAAAGGAAGAAAGAGAGAGAGAGAAACTCGTCATAAAGCCTATCCATGTAATGATGGGCGTGATGGAGCAACGTGACATGTGACACACGACACCGCGACGATGAAATACGGGCTCGTCTCGCATCGCGTTGCACAAACGAAAGCATATTCCGGCTTTATTGCGCGCGAGGCCCAGCAGCGTTCCGGGACAGAGAGACAGAGCAAGCGAGAGTGAGCGAGCGAGAGAGAGAGAGAAACAAAGAGAGAGAAATCTGGGCTTCGGCGAGTCCGCGGGATCCGATCGCGGCTGAAATTTATACGGCTAGCACGACAGGACTCGCGAAAAGGTAGTGGAAACGTCAGCGCGAAGCGCCGTTCTATCTCGCCGCTGCGATTTTTCTCGATCGCCCGCCCGCCGGCCGCCAATCTGTTATTGTTGCGTTGTCGTTGTTGTTGCGCGCGGCGTGACGAACGAGCGAGAGGAAAGGTAATTCCAGTTTAAGGACACCCTGCTGCGCACGCACGATGCCGCACACGATGTCGTATTCGCGTCCGATTTTAATTTGCAAGATAAATTTGCGCGAGTGATTATTTCGATCAAACGTCCTCACCCCCGTAAAACAATGTTCGCGCTGCAATAGCGATCGACTTAATCGCTCGTGGAACGATCGCAGGATTATTTGGCCGGATAAGTTCGACTCGGTCCGGCTCGGTTCAATTTAGTTTAGCCGGAATTAGTTTAGTTCACTTCGGTGTACGCGACCGCTTAAACGCGAGCGGGCGAGCGTTAATAAGGGTGCGGCGACGACGGCAGCGGCGGCGGTGGCAATGGCGAATTTTCGGCATGGGTGCGCAGCGTAGCGCATAGCGAAAATCGATATCATTGTCGCAGAGGAGAGAAAATAAAAAAGAAGCGAAGCAGGACGACGTACCGGGGCCGAGGGATAACGTCGAGGCGTGCAGGTTGGCCTCCGACCTCGCTCTGGAGAGAGCGGCGGGGAGATGCGGCGCTGGGCCGAGGTGACCAGCGGACGACGGCGGGTTCCCGGGTAGCGGGCCTAGTCGCAGCTCCAGGCAGGAGCTGTCCATGCTGCGGGTTTTCCTCAGTTGCGAGCTCATCGTCGTGAGCTCGGAGCCACCGTTCTCCTCGTCCTCCGGCCAGAACGACGCCTGCTGCGCCGATCGGCGAAACGTTAATTCCTCGCTCGTCGCTCGCCGATAACGCGGGATTCCCCGTGTTACACGCGATTCCACGATGGAACGCGGCGGGATTCTGCGGCACGTCGGAATTCGCCGCTCTCGAGGAGCCTCGAAAAATCGCGTTATTATATAGGGTGACACGACAACGCATATGTGTGTGTGCGTGTGCAGGGATATACGTGTGCTAATTTCCTTTAGTATTTCGGAATTAGTATTTCGAAACTATACGCGGTTTTTTGAAAAATTATACGATTTTTTTTGCTTAAGTTCACGTGCCTTACCCTGCACTGTGAATTCAAGCATGTTGTTTCGGCTAAATCTCTTTTTACACGTTTCTCCCTGCTTTAAGTCACGTCATTTAACACGTTTAAGAGTATTAAGTGATAATTCTTAAACGTGTAAGAAGAGAACTTCAATCAAATTACATCCTTGTGCGTTTAAAAATAATACTTGGATTTGCAGTGTGCATGTATGCGTTGTCGCGTCTATACCCTGTAGACATCGGGAAACCGATATCGCGACATCGAGAACGGACAGACGGACGAGGGGGTGAGAGTCTTCGTCGTGGGAGAAACTTCGTTGAAAATTTACCAACTCGATTCGACACACGAGATATGAAATTTCACGGTCTTTTCGGGATTATTTTCAACGTCCGATACTTCTATAAGATGTGGGAAAATGCTTGATCCGGTTTTCTGATTAGTCCCCGCGTTCTTTGAGGATTTGGCTTTATGTTTTGCGAACGTTTCCAGTTCACTTCTTTCAGAGAAGCAGAGAGAAAGAGAGGAACGACCTGAAAGTTTTTAAGTCGTTTTCGAATAAACAAGACGAGTGAACGAGACGCGTGAGCTGGAAGCCGGGTCAAGTATTTTCGACAACGTTTTCAGAGCCCACGCAAGAAGGATGGGACTCGTTATCGTTGCTTCGATTCTCGCGAAACGCGTGTGATGGAACGGTGAGTCACGGAGATCGATCTTCATCGGCGAGGCGTCGATTCGCGTCGCGCGGGAGAGGACCCGCGCGAGATGAACTCCGTCTGCGAATTTACCCTGAGTCTGGAAGCGAACATGTCCTCCACCGACTGGGGCAAGTATTCCCTGGTGGCGGCAACCTCGCGCCATTTATCAACCGAGGGATGAAGCGCGGCCAGTGCAACCTCATGAAAACTCGCATAGTGCTTCGCCAAGGAGCATTGTCGTTCCAACACGAAGCCATATCGTCGTCTCTCCTGAGTCATCGCCTGTGAAAAGAAGAACGCGCAAAGAGCCGGCCTGTTAATGAAGCAGCGTCGTTAATGAATCTCATCGCGTAATCCATCATCCGCGTCATCCCATTTGATAATCGCTCGCGCGTTTACCCCGCGAGAGATTTCGCGCTGCATTATCTTACTCTTTCTATGCAGCAACTTTGGAAATATCGTTGATTAATTACGCGGATATTTAAGAGCTTGTCTTCAGCGCCACTTCGCATGCTGCTTTGTCTTCTAATCATATTTGCTTCCCGGAGCTGTTTAAAGCCTTGGAAATCAAGAAGCCTGACGTTGCGCTAACAATTATAAAACTCCCGGATATCGTAATTCCGAATAAAGGAAAACTCGAGAGTTTTAAGTTCGAAGTACGAGGCTGCAAAAAGGCGAAAATTCCAAGTCGCTGCACGGAAAATGAATCTCGCTTCATGTAACGGAATGATGAGCAGATGGAGAACTCGGTGACGAGGAGGGATATCTCCGTTACCGCGACCGAAAATATTCGTCTGAACATTTTGTGCGACCGTGTTGAAACTCCACCGTAATACCTGAGAACTAATGACTGAACAGGGACTTCTCTTGTAGAAATTTTTCCCTTCCTACAGAAACCGAGTTTTCGACCGGGCAACAGAAATTCAGTTACACGAACCGACATTTTGTTCCGTGTAAAGTGCAGCGAAATGCAAGTGTGCAGAAAACGCCTGTAGGCGTTTATTATTATACTACAATTCTAAGTAAATATACAAGTAAACTGTAAAATCATAAAATCGTAAAATCATAGCTTACGAAAGAAACAAAAAAAGAATCGTAGATATTTATGAGTTATGACATACGATCCGCATAGAATCGCAGATGTACTCATAAGTTCTTACGAGTCTTACGAGAACAAGTTACGAGTTTTACGATTTTGTCTAGAATTGCAATATTAATTGGACAACGCAATTGCCGCTTCCGCGGTGTGTCACTCACATTCTTCAGGCTCTGCTCGCAGAAAGCGTCCAGCTTAGTCTTCTCCTCTTCGAGAATCTGCATATTCTTCAGCTCCTTGTCCATGGCGAGGCCGCTCTTATTGGCCGCTCTGGACTTCTTTCTCTGCTTCTTCATGGTCGCGGCGGCCTTGCTGTAGGTCTCGGATCTGGTCTTGTGTTGCTGGAGAAACTTCTTCTGCTCGCTCTGTGGAAGTTCACCCACCCGCGTGGCGCGTTGCATTATTCATCGCTACCGGAAGTCGGGACCTCTGGGGACGACTAATGCGTCTTCCGGGGATCAGTTTCGGTGATTTACTTACCTGGACGACTTTCGTGTCTTTCTCCAGGTTGGTCTCCAGGGGCACCAGCAAATCCACGTAGAACGCCTTCAACTGTAACGTGAAACGTGACGCGATAAGTTAAGAAGGACAAATCGTGCGGGAATAATATGCGCAAGTTTCGATGGTTCCCGTCTTCCGCGGAGACGCCGCGGGGAATTAGTTTTCGTAATAATGAGAACCCGAGTATCAAATTGAGACACACCGTTGGACGATAAGCGTAATTAAGAGGCATTCGGGCGTGCCTCCGACATTTAGAGCGGTCTAGGGACAAGAGGATTAACGGAAACTCCGGCGTCCTTGCAGAGTCCTCGCAGAGTCCTCGGCGGTGGGTGTTAAGAGGACGATGTTTCTTTATTTCCGCGGCGTCTCGAGTTCGCTCTCTGCGCGCCGAGCTAGACGGACTTTACGAGAGAGATTCTCTCTCTCTCTCTCGAGTCAGACCTAATTTATACTCGCAGGAATAGTCCTTGGTTGGATGTACTCCGGCGTAAAACGCCGCCGACGACGATGAGGGCTGTGGCGACGGCGACGATTGCGAGAGAAAAGACGCGCTTTATTCCTTTTTATTAGCATCTTGAGAAAGCGGTACGGAAAGATAATAAAAGCGACGCGCGAAATACCGGTTAATGGAAAAAGAGTGTAATGTAATAAATGTAACGGTGATGTAACCGTAATAATAAAGTAACGGTGTAATTGCGAGAAAGAGGGAGGATATTAAAAGCACGATAAATTTTGCACGGCGAGCTCTAAGTTAGTTGGAAAATTTCACCTCATCCTGTAATTCTGCGCGTGTATCATTGCAGTAATACGATACTTTAATTACAGTGTCGCGATTAATTACAATATCTTATCAAACTATAATATGTTTCAATATATTAATTATGTGATAAATTACGCGTTATTGTAAACAACAAATAACGTTGTAAATGTGTGACGTGAAAGCTATCGCGAATGAACAAAAAAATATACAATTGCCGGAACTTTTCACCTGACCGCAGGTCGAAGTTCGAGAAATCCGGCGAATTCGACATTTACATTTCCATCAGCTGAGCGCGGACGTTCGCTGGTCGCGGCTCGACTCGAAAATTCGATTCTACGGAAATCTGGGCTCCTCCGAGCATGACTCGTCCGATTATTCCTCAAGACACACTTCCCCCATCTCCGCAATCAAATCAACGCCTTCTCTCACTCCTTCCGCTCAAACACACTGTAACGTCTGCGGGGTATGACTTTCCAAACCGCATTAACGATATGCCTTCATGTTTGCCAGCCACTTCGATCCATCAGCGTATTAAGCCTTTCGCTTCCCCCGCGTTTCTTCGAGAGCCACCCCTCTTCCGCTCGCTCGCTCTTGCATTCTCCTTTCTCGCTCGCAACCCTATCCGGCCCCGCGATCCCTCCACGAGTTCGCGTTTCAGGAACAAGTTGTTTGTTTTACAGTTCGAGCACCCTTCGCCTCGCTTTTTGTACGTCGCTCAAAGGCAGGCGGATTGCAGCCGACCGTTGCTATGGCGGCGGTGCGTGGAAGGAGAGGAGGAAGAGGCGAATCCGTCCTTTTTATCCGGTTTTTTTCATCTTCTCTCTCTCCCCCCACTAGCTCCCTTCCCCGTCCGGTTGCCCCGTCGCACTGCCACAAACGCGCGAATCTCTACGCACTACGCGAATTTAATCCGCGAGCTTTTACAGAGTGGCCGTCGATTTTTATTGGGAAATTCGGCGCTCTTTATGTCTGATTGCGAGCGCAGCCGCGTTATTTCGGCGGCTCGCGCGCACTTCAAGCTGGTCTCGCTTCGCCGGCCGTCGACCGAGAATCACGGCGCTTCCGGCGCGCGCTTTTCTGCGCGGACTTCCGATCACGCGACCGGATATCGGAGAATCGCATTTCGGCCACTGGAGGAAGACGTCAGGTTACTATTTGCGAGTCGTCACGGTGAAATATAGCGATGCGCGCTCGTAAATATTATTTATATCTCAGACACACTCTTCTGAAACCTCGACAAGATTAATCTTGAAGCTGAAGAACCAATCTTGTGGAAAAATTGGACGACTCTCTGTCGCTTAAGATTCTTATTTTCTTTTTACATGTATTAACATATACACGCTGAGTATACGGAAAGCTACGTCATTTTTCTTTTCATATAATCCGGATAACAATTTAAACTTTATTTATTACACCACAGATGTGTGTCTTGTACAAACAAAATACAACCTGTGGTGTGATAAATTCAAAATATAAATATAGTCTGAATTGTTATTCAAATTATATGTGTAATGAGAATTTAAAATTTAATGAGAATTTTAAATGCAATGAGAATTCGCATTTTTCGAAGTTTCAGAGGAAGCGTTGAAAGTTGCTCGACCGCGGAAATTAAAATTTTCGCGAAAACTTGGCAGAGCGATTCCGAATTCGCCCGCTTATCGATCGATCGCAAGGATACGCGTTCGCCAAAAAGCTGCGAAGTAATGCAAGCTACGTGTGAGTCTCGCCCACCCCGACAACCCCGCCGCTCTCCGTTGGACTTGGCACTCGCCCTTCTCTCTCTCCGCATGGCGCTTCCTCCACTCGCTTCTTTCGGACGCGCTCGAGATAATCTTCGTCTGGAGTGCGTTTTTCATGGACCAATCGTGACGCAGCGCGCATACATGGCTATGTTTCCTTGGAAAATCCCCCAAGGAATTGGAGGTCATTAATCCTCGTGCTAAACAACACTCCAGATGCCTGTTACGAGCGTGCTGTATTTTCTTAAATTTAATTCTGTGTATAATAAATAACGGTAATCATGGAACGGTATACATCGAACTCTAACATTGTATATATAAAGTCTATGAAAACGGTAACAAAAATAAAAATAAACACTCGATAATTGAGAAGATACGTCAATAGATACGTGAATTTGGAAGTGAATAAAGTCCTTTAACGTAGAACTGTCACTCCCTCTCCCCCCCTAATTTAATTACCCCAAGAGAGAAGAGTGTAATTGCAGAAATAATAAAATTAGAAAGGAAAGTGTGTAGCGTAATCCTTTTTACTCTTGATAGTAGCCGCGCTTCGTGAATCATATTGTACAAACGTATCATAGATGCACGGAGATAATTAACCAACTTTGCTCGCACTTTCGGTTGAAAAATATTACGTTAGATTTAATATTATTAAAAGCACCGCGCAGCAGCGCGAAACAAAAGGGAATGTTCTTAGCTGGCGCTCGGTACAAGTTAGACTGGAGGGACATTTTCGCGGGGAGGTCGGCCGGAACGAAATTGCAAAACGCGATGGCGGAGTGTCCGAGAGAGGGTTGCGAAGTCGTAATAACCACATGTCGTTACGGCCGCAACGAGATTCCATCCTCAAACGGAACGCCTGCGGGGTGTAATGTCGCCCCCGAGTCAAGCAGAGGCGAGCCGCAGGATCAAAGAGGTTCCCGCGGACTTCCGCGTGCCGTAGAACCGTTCTACGGAGTGTAACAGGATCAGCACAGACGATAGCGGAGCATGACGAGGCAACGGGGAGTTTACCCTTTCATATTTCTCGAAGGCGGTATCTAGTGGCGACATTACGCGTCTCTCTTTCTTTGCTCTTCTTTTATTCCCAAGCACTCAAAAATGTATCAGATAATGCGAATCTAGTGACATTTCATTCCGGGCGACTGATTCCAATCGACACGACATTTTACTCCGAATGGTTGATTATAATTGACACGACTCGTTTGTCCATTAATCAACCTTGGCGATGATACGATCTTTCTGTCGATATTGTTAACACTTCCGACGGCGATTTTCCGTCGAAAGCAGCTGTAAAATGTTTGCTGGCGGGGCGAATATAGATAAACAAAGAGACGCGAGTTTCCGCTAGATTAGGCTTGGCACTAGACGAGGGCGAAGAAGACATCTTTACGAATTCTGGCAGACGCGGCCGGAGTCTGACGTAATCTCCGGAAATGGACGATGCCGGGGTGGGAGACAGACGGAAAAAATGGGAGAGGGAGACAATGCGCCTGCTTTTAGCCGCTCTACAAAGTGCTCGGGAATATTATCCGATCACGATAAAAAATCTTCCTAAAAAGAGGAAACGTTCGAATATGGAGGAAGATCGATGGGCAGGAATATATTATCCTCCCCGGTCCTGATGTCCAGTCGGTTAGATATTTTTGCAAGTCTATAACCTGACTCTCCTTGTACTTGAAGTGTGTAAAACCACATGTCCAGCATGCTGGACTATTGATTAATGCGTGGGAGATTTATTTGTCTTAGCATCTTTCAGGTCTGACAGTTGGCTGCACCGCAAAGCAGAAAATATTAAAAATCTGAAAAAATATTTTTGTATCCTCTAGTGATCCCCGAAGTTAAGGAAAGCCTAATACTTTTATAAAATTCAGAAATAGTTTGCCTCAGGACTGAGGAGGTTGTTGTTTCGGTAGTAAGTTGTTACTACTGCATTAAAAGGATCCTGATAAATAGTAAAAGTAATAGATAATAAATAAAAATAATGGATAACATCAAAATTGAAATGTTATTGAAATATTACAAGTTATCCAAGTTTCTCTCTTTTCAATTGCATTTTCCAAACGATAGTTAAAATTACGTTATTAGTAATAAGAGATATTTCAAAATCGTTCTGAATAAGAATCCCGATTATGCAAGTTTATCGAAATTTACGTTTCAACGATGTTATTATCAATTTTACACGGAGAGAATATTATAATCTTCATATAAATTCTTCTCAATTTTATTATGTTTCTAATAGTGCAGGGCTGTCGCACGCGCGCGGTGAAATATGTCTTGCTAAGGAACGTGGTAAATTTCGCTGGAAATAGCAAATTTTTTAATGGCTCATTTCAGCCCCTAAATTATATAAAATGAAAGGACAGCCAATTACAGTGCAGAATAGGTCAATCTGTTTCTCGGTTACACAATTCCACAGTAATTTTTATTGCAAAATTCTCTCCGTGCACTTTGTCCAATAATATGTTATTAGCATTCAAGACGTTTCCTCTTAAACGTATTCTCCTTTGAGTAAAATGTCGAAATACATAAAAGACTGGCAAATGAAAGAAATGTCTCACGGTACTTACAATGTTCATCTCCTGCTCCTGGATCTCCTTGTACACCTCGACAATTCTCATCAGTGCGAATCCTGCAACACGAAAAGCAGACCTCGATCAGACTATGATCGCCCTCGCAGGACTCGTCGTCGCGGGATCGAACGACCAGAACTTTCGTCCTGAATTATTCAGACGCGGTTGGCGTCGCCGATACTTTAATCCAGCAGCGAGAAGGGTGCAGGGAGAAAGTGGAAAACGAGGTTGACTGGAGGGGGTGAGAAGCGCGATAGCTTAAAGCAGGACGTTACGATGCTTGCGGTCGCCCGTCTCAAGTGACTTTCCTGCCGAAAGCTCACGAAAGCTCGCCACGAAAAACAAATGCTCGCACGTCGAGCTCGATCGGCAAAGTTTCCGCGAGGAGGACGGAAACTTTTCCCGTGGAAACGTTTCCGTCCCCTCTCTCCCTCTCTCACTCTCTATTTCTTCCTCTTTTTCTCATTCTCTCCCTCGCCTCGTCCTGCTCAGTCTTCCGTTCAAGCGGATTCCGCTTTGCTACCCACGAATGAGCTTGCGGATTCCAAGTCGGCGTGAGCTCGGACGAAACTCGGTTTTGGTCGACCCGATGTGCTACGGCAAGACTACTTACAAGGAAAATACTTGCTCGCAGAAATCAGAATTGCATTAGCCGTATCGAGAGGGTTTGTCGTGAATTTCGCACAATCGTCGACACGGCGATAGAGAAGAGAGTCGCACGTCTCTCGAGGTACAATACCTCTCGAGCAAATGACGGGTCGTAATAATTGAAATTTCACGTTCTAATTAAAGAGTCGTCCTGGTGGCAACCTTTTTAACGAGGAAGATCAGTTACAACACGGCAATGGCAAAGGAGTCGCGCTCGACGAAACGCGCACAGGCTTTCCTTCGAGTAATCGCACTCGCGAACACAACGACAATACGCCGCTGAATAAACGAACAGTTACCGTAAATAATTTTTCGAACGTGTGTATCGCGTGAAACATTCCAGTGTGGAACGCTGTATATACGAGCTTGAGCGTTGAATAACTTCTCTCTCTCGTATTTTTACATCGCTCTATTTTCGCGCAAATAAAAAGAAAACATGCATTCCCCTTTCTCTCTCTCCCTCTCTCTCTTTCTCTCTCTCTCTCTCTCTCTTGCTCTCTGACCCTTTCTATCTTTCTTTCTCTGCCCCCTGCCTTTTTTTCGCAACGCGCGTAGATTTTCCGTTATGTACGTACGTTCGCATCGTTTCCGGCGTTGCGGAAAAAGCTCGTCTCGATGTAGCGCGAAAAGATATCGGCGACAGCGGTGGCGGCGGCGGCAGCTTCTCGGTCACGTGCGACAAATATCGCCTAACGCACGTGACGGCGGATAGCGTTCGACGCTATCTCCTATTTTTCCGTCGCGCCGCACCGCACCGCGCGAAGCGATATCCGCACGCCGAGCGATTTTTACTCCCGCGTGCGCCGCGAATTTTGCATTTTATCGAGCCCGGGCTCGATATCTCGGATACACCCTCGGCGGATGTATTAGTCATTCGACCGCTGCACGCGCGCTGTTTTGCACGGTGGTGGTACAGGTGCGAGGACACCGCGTTTATTCGCGCTGCCGCGTATTTCTTCGAACGTTCGCGACGTACAACCCTTATAGAGATATCACACTAAGAATCATTGATAATTACTTATTGTCCAGTATTTTTAATACTGAAAATAAGTAATTATCAATGATTCTTAGTATGATATTTCTATAAGGGAAGGTGAAATTATCGTATGGCGCCTCCTCGGGATATTCGTTGTCGATTGTTCCGCAACTTCTTTTCACTTTAGAAAATCTCAGTAAAGTAGCTCGAATTAAAATTTTGTTCAAATGATGTTCTACTCGAAATGAAACGGTTGTATGCTTTAAAAATGTTGTTCAAAAGAAATGGAACGGGCAAACAAGAGTCGAGTACTGGTGTGACAACGGATCAAATCGAAAGGAAATCAGTCAACACGATCTAGTATTTAATGCAAATGTGTGTGATAAACAGACTTGAAGGAAACGTTTCGCTCCCGACTTTGGACCATCTCCGGCGAAATGTAAACAAATATTTACAAAGTCACGTAGTCATATCAGAGTGTCAACACGTAATGATGATATAACTATGTAACTTCATAAATATTTGTTTACATTTTACTCTGAAGATGGTCCAAAGTCGACACCGAAATGTTTTCGAAGAGTTTATCATTTATTAATTTATCATGATCTGTTTATCATTTATATTAAAATTATTATATCGTGTCAATTGATCTTCTTCCGATTCGATTCACAGCAGCATTTGACTCCTATATGCTTGATCGCTTTTTTACATTTAGTGACTTTGTTTGAATATCAACAGAGCCATATCTTTAAATTGTTACATTTTATATTATTATTATTATACATGAATTATTATCACGTTGATTTCGGTCGACTGTACAAAAGTCCAGCTGACAATTGAATTACCACAGATACGGCAAATGGGAATGAATGTAATTCGCCGCGACGCGTATATTTTTTAATTCGTTCCATTGTGTGCGTGGGCTCTTCATTGGCCGCGCGCAAACGATTTATCCAATACAATTTGTTATACTTTATGCGCAACTCATTGAGACGGTGATATCGTAATGGCGATATGACTAAAATTCACTGAGATTCCTCTCGATTTTTGAATTTGCACAATTGGGAGGACGGAGGAGGCAAAATGGGAGTCGTCGGATTTTAAGCAGCTCTGTGACACTCAGAGCAGAGGAGATTAATAACCATCACGATATCCAAGTTGAAATTTTGATTCTACTTTCAACCTCACTATTCAATTCAATACTTATTTTGGTATTTTGAAGCCTATAATACAACCTATTTTGACGCTAAAGAAAGTGAAATGGGAAATTTTGGACATCATCAGAGTCAAAGTAAGAATAAATTGTATCATTAATTGTAGAATTAAACCTATTTTGCTAACTTAGCTCCTACTGCGTTGTAGAATTCAAGGTTTAACATAGGGTCAAAATTTCGACTCGGGTTCAACGTGTTAAATATTATCAGTGCATAAACTGATAATGTCCCGAATCGAAATTTTGACTCTATGTTGAACCTTGAATTCTACACCGCGGTAGGAGCTAAGATAGCAAAGTAGATTTTATTCTAATGATATAATTTACTCCTACTTTGACCCTGATAATGTCTGAAATTTACGCTTTCGCTTTCTTTAGCATCAAAGTAGGTTGTATAATAATAGGATCTTAGGAAATAAAGTAGGTTCAGTTGCGAACCTCTATAGAAGCTTTAGCTCCTACATAGAATATATGTATTTTATAGAATTCAAGGTTCAACATAAGGTCAAAATTTCGACTCGGAAATGAATGTCAATATCGTTAAAATAGGTTTCACCTAAGTTGTAGATTATATAAGTAGAGTCCTCAAACTATTTTTAAGAGCTTCAAAGTAGCGTCAAAATTTTGACAAGGTAGAGTTAAAAGTTCAAAAGAGAAGTTAATGAGTATCAATATCGTCAAAGTAGATTTTACCTAGGCTATAAACCGTCTAAGTAGGCGTAAACTATCCTTAAGAGCGTCAAAGTAGCATCAAAATTTCGACTCGGGGATATCTCTCATGCTGTCATCTCAGTTCCTCTCGGACCGTCTCGCGCTATTGCACATCCCTCATAGAAAGATATTTAAGCTACAAGAGGCCGCAACGGAAGAGAACTATACGGAGACATACTGTGAAGATACCGTAAAAAGTGTTAACGATCGCAGCTCGACGAGGGATTCACGGGTGGTTTTCGTGGTCGAAGAAGCCGGGCCGGCTGGACACCTCACGTTCATTTCCCAGGGTATCGGATATTCACGGGGATGCGTCCCTTTACGACGCCTTAAATTCCCGCCGCAACAGCGGCGGTGGAGGCCGATCCTCCGAGGAGGATCTCGCGGATGAGAGCTTCCAGTGTTTCAACACGGAACATCCAACGTCGGTCCGACATGACACGCGTCGGTGGCGAAAATATATTTTATTGAAAATTGTTTATTAAACGACAGTTATATAATAAATCGACGTCCTGTTGCAGGATCTGCGTGCACGATATGACGTTTTTACGACGCCCTTTTGCTTGTTGCGCGGAACCACACTCGGCCGAGCTTCGCTGTGTTTTATTAATCACGCGCTGGAAAGACAATATCACGTTAAATATTGAGAGCGCGCCGGACGGTGTGTATTTTTTGCTCCCTCGGAAAATTGCCCCCAATCTATATGAATCGCTATCCGCTATCCGCTATCGAGGTTTCTTACACGCGGAAATGTTCTCTAGATAAACTTCCGAGACGACGCAAGTTTCGTCTATACCGCCGCCACCGCCGCCGCCCCCGCGATGATGGACCGCTTTTTTCCGCCAAGTCACGCGCGCCCGTTTTACGGCTCTCGTCGCCGCCGGTGAGTTTCGGAATAAATAATTTTACGGCGCATTCGCGGCCGTCGTCGTCGTCGGCATCGCTCGCGCGGAAGACCCGCTTTCCCCGCAAGGTTCTGAACGCACATAAAGCGGGGCAAAAGCCTTTACTTGGGAAAGGGAATCCCCGAATTTAGTGCTCGCTGGAAACCTTCGTATTTGCACACTGATATTCTCCCCGGCGAAGTAACCTTTTTTGTCGTCGATAATAGGATAGGATCAGAGACATCAGCATTTTGCGCGAGAATCGACTCGAGAATAATTTTTGCGAGGCTGCTGCACAGCTCGACTGGTGCCGAGTGAATTCTTCCTCCGCGGTAGTTCGATTGGCGAATCCTAAATTTCATAAAGCTGTACATTCCCGAGTCACGAACGTCACAGTTCGTTAAAGCTAACGATACGAAAATCTCGTCGATCTAACGACGTCCAAGGGTTGCTTGTCCGTAGCGGATCTCGTTGATTCTACTAATTTTCCTCTGCCCTGGATGTCACAGCTGCTTAAAACCCGACGACCCATCCTCCTCCAGATCGCGTAAATTCGAAAATCGAGAGGAGCCCCGGTGAATTTTCGTCCTACCCTCGCGATTGCGCAGCAAAATAGATCTCCATTTC